ATGCGTCACTCCCGATCCTCGAGCGCGAGTCGACGAACCAACGAAGAACGCCGCCGAAGCAAGTCTCCTGCAAAACACCAGGGCTGCTGGTACCACTACCGTCACAGAAATGATGCCAAGAAGTGCCAACCTCCATGTACTTTCACGGGAAACGGCAAGGCCGCACACTAGAGGCGGATGGTGTAGCCGGCCTGGAGTCCAACCGTCTTTTCTACGTAACCGACCGAACCACCAAGGTCCGGTACCTAGTAGACACGGGAGCCGAAATTTGCGTCGTTCCGCCTAAGCTGGAAGATCGACGGCATCGACAAGACACCCCGCCACTACATGCAGTGAATGGTTCACCAATTAAGACGTACGGACAAAAGTCAATCACTCTCGACATCGGCTTCAGACGGACGTTTCGGTGGGTTTTCTTAATCGCCGACGTTCTTCAACCCATCATAGGAGCCGACTTTCTTCGGCATTTTGCGCTCATGGTGGATGTAAAGCGAAGACTGCTTCACGACATTGAGACTCGCCTCACCGTGCAGGGATTATCTGCGAAGGGAGTCCAAAAGGCGCCCAGCCTCCCCCAAGTGGAGCCCACCTCCCAATGGACGGACATCCTCGACGAATTCCCCGACGTGTTTCGTCCAACTTCAAGAGACCTACCGGTGAAACACACCGTGACCCACCATATCGAGACGAAGGGACCTCCGGTGTTTGCTCGACCTAGACGCCTAGCTCAAGATCGCCTGCGGATAGCGAAGTAAGAATTTGAGTACAAGCTCGAGCTTGGCTACGTCCGGCTTTCTTCGAGCTCCTGGTCATCGGCCCTCCACATGGCCCCAAAGAAGAGCGGCGACTGGCGTCCATGCGGAGATTACAGAGCCCTCAACCAGAGCACGGTCCCCGATCGCCATCCAATTCCCCACATACAGGATTTCACCGGCGCCTTGCATGGAGCAACCATCTTCAGTAAGGTGGACCTCGTGAAAGCGTACCACCAAATTCCTGTGGAACCGGCCGACGTTCCGAAGACCGCCATAATAACCCCATTCGGCATGTTCGAGTACTTGCGGATGCCGTTTGGTCTCCGCAATGCGGCCCAGACCTGCCAAAGGTTCATCGACCAAGTCCTACGCGGCCTGACCTTTACCTTCGCATACATGGACGACATCCTCATTTTCAGCGACAACCCGAAAGACCACGTAGACCACCTACGTCAGCTCTTCTCTCGCCTTGAAAAGTATGGATTGATCGTCAACCCTGCAAAGTGCACATTCGGCGTCGAGGGCCTGGATTTCCTGGGCCATCGCGTCGACAGTCACGGCATACGGCCGCTGCCACAGCGAGTAGAAGCCATCCGCGGGTTCCCGCAACCTCCTACAACAAACTCGCGAGTTTCTCGGGCCCGTGAACTTCTACAGGCGCTTTGTTCCTCAGTGTGCTACGATCCTCCAGCCCCCGCATTACCTTTTGCAAGGAAAACCAAGCAAGAACGCCGTTCTGACTTGGACACCAACTGCTGACGCAGCATTTTCCGCCATCAAGGAGGAACTTGCAAAAGCTACACTGCTGACCCATCCAAAAGCTGGAGCGCCAACATCAGTCATGGTAGACGCCTCTAACTCCGCCGTCGGAGCTGTCCTCCAGCAGAACATCAACGGAACATGGAAGCCATTGGTATTCTTCTCGAAGAAGCTGTCAACCACTGAGTGCCGCTACAGCACTTTCGGAAGGGAACTACTCGGAGTCTACCTTGCCATCAGACACTTCCGCTACTACCTCGAGGGACGAACATTTTTTGTGATGACTGATCACAAGCCGCTGACGTATGCTTTGACATCTAGCAGTGAAACGCACACGCCAAGAGAGATACGGCAAATGGCTTACGTCATGGAGTTCACGACGGACATCCGCTTTGTACCAGGCAAAGACAACTCCGTAGCAGACGCACTCTCTCGAATTGGTGTGAACACCTGCTCTACCGAACGGAACGCTGTCGACTACGAAGAACTAGCAGCAGCGCAGAGCACGGATACAACACTACCACATTTGCGGGAAACAACGTCACTGAACCTACAAGACATAAAGATTCCGGAATGCAAAGCAACATTGGTCTGCGATGTGTCGACAGAACAACTAAGACCATATGTCCCCGAGAAGTTCCGGAAGCCTATTTTTGAAGCAATCCACTCACTTTCACACCCAGGAATTCGAGCCACACTACATCTCATAACTGCTCGATTCATCTGGCCTAAGATCAACGCCGACATCCGCAATTGGACACGCACGTGCGTGCAATGCCAGCGCGCGAAAGTGGGTCGGCACACGACTACACCGCTCGGCAAGTTTTCACCTCCCGATGGTCGTTTCAGCAACATCCACCTCGACATAGTGGGACCACTCCCGCCAGCCGACGATTGCCGGTACGTTTTGACCTGCATCGACCGCTTCACGAGGTGGCCTGAAGCAACACCGATCAAATCGATATCAGCAGAAGCCGTAGCACGGGCCTTCGTCACCATGTGGGTCAGCCGTTTCGGAACACCAACCACCATCACAACAGACCGAGGGAGAGAATTCGAGTCTACACTGTTCCAGAACCTCTCGCGGATCCTAGGTACAAAGCATATTCACACTACATCCTATCACCCCATCTCCAGCGGAATGGTGGAACGGTTTCACAGACAGCTAAAGGCCAGTTTGAAGACGAAAGGTACAGCCGCGCCTTGGACGGAAACCCTACCACTCGTCATGCTTGGAATACGCACGTCCCTAAAAAATGACCTGGGATGCAGTACAGCAGAAATGGTGTACGGCACGCCTCTACGCATCCCTGGTGAGTTTCTAACACGTACCACCAACACCGAAACCACCACAGCAGAGGACTACGCAAGCCGTCTACGTTCCTCATTCGAGAAACTACGACCTGTGCCCACACGACAGCGGAACTCTCGCAAGGTGTTCCTCAGCCCGGAACTGTCACGCTGCACCCACGTGTTCATACGCACAGACGCCGTGAAGCGACCGCTGCAGAACCCATATGAAGGACCATTTAAAGTTCTAAAACACGGCGACAAGCATTTCACCGTGCTCGTGAAAGGATGTGAAGATGCAGTTTCACTCGACAGGATAAAACCAGCTCATCTCGAGCAACCCCAAGCACAAACAACTCCAACCCAAGTACGACGTGTACACTTCAAAGGAGCACCTGATCGCTCGTCTCCTCCACCTCCTCGCTAGGGGGGGAGTACCTGTAGCGGCACGCTACAGCGAGTAAAGAAGACGAAGAACACCAGCTCGAGAAAAACACCATCACTTGCAAGCGGGGGCTCGAGATGAAAAGGCGGAGGGCTACGCAGTCCACGTTCCACGATCTTCAGATTTTGACTCTTTTGTAAATAATGTAAATATACGATTTGTTAGCAAATGAGAATATCGTTCTTGCTACAGTAGCTTCCGAACGTATTCGACCAGATCAGGTTGCATACATGCGGCGTCTCGGTGCATTCGTCGACGTCTGCAGTCAGTAAGGGGGTTCGAGTGATGAATTCACAAATGAGCATGTGGCAAATTAAAAACTAATATGTGGTAAATTCAATAATTAAGTATTTTTAGTTCTTACCCTCGCACGTAAAGTTGTCATGGACGGAGAGAGTGTACCCGGCTTTGCAAAAACAATCGTAGCTTCCGAACGTATTCGAGCAGATCTGGTTGCATACATGCGGCGTCTCGGTGCATTCGTCGACGTCTGCAGTCAGTAAGGGGGTTTGAGTGATGAATTCACAAATGAGCATGTGGCAAATTGAAAACGAATATATGGTAAATTCAATAATTAAGTATTTTTAGTTTTTACCCTCGCACGTGAAGTTGTCATGGACGGAGAGAGTGTACCCGGCTTTGCAAAAACAATCGTAGCTTCCGAACGTATTCGAGCATATCTGGTTGCATACATGCGGCGTCTCGGTGCATTCGTCGACGTCTGCAGTTAGTAAGGGGGTTTGAGTGTTGAATTCACAAATGAGCATGTGGCAAATTAAAAACGAATATATTTTAAATTCAATATTTAAAAAGTATTTTTAGTTCTTACCCTCGCACGTGAAGTTGTCATGGACGGAGAGAGTGTACCCGGCTTTGCAAAAACAATCGTAGCTTCCGAACGTATTCGAGCAGATCTGGTTGCATACATGCGGCGTCTCGGTGCATTCGTCGACGTCTGCAGTCCGTAAGGGGGTTTGAGTGTTGAATTCACAAATGAGCATGTGGCAAATTAAAAACGAATATATGGTAAATTCAATAATTAAGTATTTTTAGTTCTTACCCTCGCACGTGAAGTTGTCATGGACGGAGAGAGTGTACCCGGCTTTGCAAAAACAATCGTAGCTTCCGAACGTATTCGAGCAGATCTGGTTGCATACATGCGGAGTCTCGGTGCATTCGTCGACGTCTGCAGTCAGTAAGGGGGTTTGAGTGTTGAATTCACAAATGAGCATGTGGCAAATTAAAAACGAATATATGGTAAATGCAATATTTAAAAAGTATTTTTAGTTCTTACCCTCGCACGTGAAGTTGTCATGGACGGAGAGAGTGTACCCGGCTTTGCAAAAACAATCGTAGCTTCCGAACGTATTCGAGCAGATCTGGTTGCATACATGCGGCGTCTCGGTGCATTCGTCGACGTCTGCAGTCAGTAAGGGGGTTTGAGTGATGAATTCACAAATGAGCATGTGGCAAATTAAAAACGAATATATGGTAAATTCAATATTTAAAAAGTATTTTTAGTTCTTACCCTCGCACGTGAAGTTGTCATGGACGGAGAGAGTGTACCCGGCTTTGCAAAAACAATCGTAGCTTCCGAACGTATTCGAGCAGATCTCGTTGCATACATGCGGCGTCTCGGTGCATTCGTCGACGTCTGCAGTCAGTAAGGGGGTTTGAGTGTTGAATTCACAAATCAGCATGTGGCAAATTAAAAACGAATATATGGTAAATTCAATATTTAAAAAGTATTTTTAGTTCTTACCCTCGCACGTGAAGTTGTCATGGACGGAGAGAGTGTACCCGGCTTTGCAAAAACAATCGTAGCTTCCGAACGTATTCGAGCAGATCTGGTTGCATACATGCGGCGTCTCGGTGCATTCGTCGACGTCTGCAGTCAGTAGGGGGGTTTGAGTGTTGAATTCACAAATAAGCATGTGGAAAATTAAAAACGAATATATGGTAAATTCAATATTTAAAAAGTATTTTTAGTTCTTACCCTCGCACGTGAAGTTGTCATGGACGGAGAGAGTGTACCCGGCTTTGCTAAAACAATCGTAGCTTCCGAACGTATTCGAGCAGATCTGGTTGCATACATGCGGCGTCTCGGTGCATTCGTCGACGTCTGCAGTCAGTAAGGGGGTTTGAGTGTTGAATTCACAAATGAGCTTGTGGCAAATTAAAAACGAATATATGGTAAATTCAATATTTAAAAAGTATTTTTAGTTCTTACCCTCGCACGTGAAGTTGTCATGGACGGAGAGAGTGTACCCGGCTTTGCAAAAACAATCGTAGCTTCCGAACGTATTCGAGCAGATCTGGTTGCATACATGCGGCGTCTCGGTGCATTCGTCGACGTCTGCAATCAGTAAGGGGGTTTGAGTGTTGAATTCACAAATCAGCATGTGGCAAATTAAAAACGAATATATGGTAAATTCAATATTTAAAAAGTATTTTAGTTCTTACCCTCGCACGTGAAGTTGTCATGGACGGAGAGAGTGTACCCGGCTTTGCAAAAACAATCGTAGCTTCCGAACGTATTCGAGCAGATCTGGTTGCATACATGCGGCGTCTCGGTGCATTCGTCGACGTCTGCAGTCAGTAAGGGGGTTTGAGTGTTGAATTCACAAATGAGCATGTGGCAAATTAAAAACGAATATATGGTAAATTCAATATTTAAAAAGTATTTTTAGTTCTTACCCTCGCACGTGAAGTTGTCATGGACGGAGAGAGTGTACCCGGCTTTGCAAAAACAATCGTAGCTTCCGAACGTATTCGAGCAGATCTGGTTGCATACATGCGGCGTCTCGGTGCATTCGTCGACGTCTGCAGTCAGTAAGGGGGTTTGAGTGTTGAATTCACAAATGAGCTTGTGGTAAATTAAAAACGAATATATGGTAAATTCAATATTTAAAAAGTATTTGTAGTTCTTACCCTCGCACGTGAAGTTGTCATGGACGGAGAGAGTGTACCCGGCTTTGCAAAAACAATCGTAGCTTCCGAACGTATTCGAGCAGATCTGGTTGCATACATGCGGCGTCTCGGTGCATTCGTCGACGTCTGCAGTCAGTAAGGGGGTTTGAGTGTTGAATTCACAAATGAGCATGTGGCAAATTAAAAACGAATATATGGTAAATTCAATATTTAAAAAGTATTTGTAGTTCTTACCCTCGCACGTGAAGTTGTCATGGACGGAGAGAGTGTACCCGTTTTTGCAAAAACAATCGTAGCTTCCGAACGTATTCGAGCAGATCTGGTTGCATACATGCGGCGTCTCGGTGCATTCGTCGACGTCTGCAGTCAGTAAGGGGGTTTGAGTGCTGAATTCACAAATGAGCATGTGGCAAATTAAGAACGAATATATGGTAAATTCAATAATTAAGTATTTTTAGTTCTTACCCTCGCACGTGAAGTTGTCATGGACGGAGAGAGTGTACCCGGCTTTGCAAAAACAATCGTAGCTTCCGAACGTATTCGAGCAGATCTGGTTGCATACATGCGGCGTCTCGGTGCATTCGTCGACGTCTGCAGTCAGTAAGGGGGTTTGAGTGTTGAATTCACAAATGAGCTTGTGGCAAATTAAAAACGAATATATGGTAAATTCAATAATTAAGTATTTTTAGTTCTTACCCTCGCACGTGAAGTTGTCATGGACGGAGAGAGTGTACCCGGCTTTGCAAAAACAATCGTAGCTTCCGAACGTATTCGAGCAGATCTGGTTGCATACATGCGGCGTCTCGGTGCATTCGTCGACGTCTGCAGTCAGTAAGGGGGTTTGAGTGTTGAATTCACAAATGAGTTTGTGGCAAATTAAAAACGAATATATGCTAAATTCAATATTTAAAAAGTATTTGTAGTTCTTACCCTCGCACGTGAAGTTGTCATGGACGGAGAGAGTGTACCCGGCTTTGCAAAAACAATCGTAGCTTCCGAACGTATTCGAGCAGATCTGGTTGCATACATGCGGCGTCTCGGTGCATTCGTCGACGTCTGCAGTCAGTAAGGGGGTTTGAGTGTTGAATTCACAAATGAGCATGTGGCAAATTAAAAACGAATATATGGTAAATTCAATATTTAAAAAGTATTTGTAGTTCTTACCCTCGCACGTGAAGTTGTCATGGATGGAGAGAGTGTACCCGGCTTTGCAAAAACAATCGTAGCTTCCGAACGTATTCGAGCAGATCTGGTTGCATACATGCGGCGTCTCGGTGCATTCGTCGACGTCTGCAGTCAGTAAGGGGGTTTGAGTGTTGAATTCACAAATGAGCTTGTGGCAAATTAAAAACGAATATATGGTAAATTCAATAATTAAGTATTTTTAGTTCTTACCCTCGCACGTGAAGTTGTCATGGACGGAGAGAGTGTACCCGGCTTTGCAAAAACAATCGTAGCTTCCGAACGTATTCGAGCAGATCTGGTTGCATACATGCGGCGTCTCGGTGCATTCGTCGACGTCTGCAGTCAGCAAGTTGGTTTGAGTGATGAATTCACAATCGAGCATATGGTAAATGGACATTTTCCAAAGTACATCAAGAAACACTGGTGGCCATCATGTTTCGGAGTCTTTTTAGACTTAAGCTAGGTGGCGCAAGGCACCGCCCGTTTCAAGGGGTGTAGCCATCGACATCCGTCCATGCATTCATGGGCATCGCTCTTTACACGAAGCGCGTGATTGGGTCCGAATTCACGCCTCGCGCTGAAACGGCGCTCGTGTCCGATGCATGTTAAAAGTGGATGTCCGAATAATGGCAGCCTCGCAGAATCGACGCCCCAGCTATTCAAGGGCGCACTTGTTTTAAAAGGGCTCGTTGGATGAAGCTGGTTCGGCTACGCTTAGTACGATATTAGGTATAATATTTAAGCTTTAACAGGACAGGAAGAATGAGAGCCAAGAAACCAGACCGGCTTTCTATCACCACTGTAATTTTGTTAACGCATTTAAGAGCCCCAACTAAAAGCGAGCTCCGTTTCTTTCAGACCAAGTACAAACTGAGACAGTCAAAGACCATAAGAAATTGCTAGCACGAAAGGTACGTAAGTAGGGCTGCCGACTGACTTAAGTTTTGTACTGTACTTTCTACAGTATTGCTAATAAGCTACAGTTAAAATATAAAAAGGCTTAGATCCTGCGCTCTCCTTAAAGTACACTGAGAAGGGCGCATTTCCTAAGACATCGAAATAAAGACATAAATAGGTATGAAAGAAATAGGTTGTCACATAGAGAAGACAGGTTTTTCGTTATAATTCACAGTACGGTAGATTGACAGTGTATAAAGGCAAGTAGAAGCGTTAATGAAAAAAGATTTTTTTTTGTGTAATTCACCGCATTTAGAATCTACCTGTTCCGACACACCATAATATATTCAGCACAGTTTTCTTTTTTTCGTACTTACCTCGGCATGTGAGGCCATTATTTGACAACTTTAGGCCGAAGGGACAACCGCAGTACGTACTTCCTTTCGTGTTTACGCACTCGTGGGAACAGTTGAGGAGTCTTTCTTCGCACTCGTTCATATCTGTGGGCGAGTAGGATTTTAGAATGTGTCACTTCCAAACAAAAACTGCACCTGCAAAAAAAAAAATACAAACAAAAAAGAACAAAAGAAACTCCGAGACGAACAAGGCACCATCTTCCAGCATTTGTGCTTAAATGAATGAATGAATACGAGTGTAGCATTTAATTCGGGCGCCGGCTTGTGCCGTCTCGATAGTAGTTTAAACTTTCTGTCTAGCGATTATAATACAGACTACTATTGTTGCTGTACTAATGCATGACAAGGTGAACAAACGACAGCTGATCACAAAAGTCAGAATCGTACAGTAAATCACGAGGTAGTAAATGACTAAACCGTGAAGGATTCCCTGGCGAGTTAGGCATATGCCTAGTGTTTACTATTGATAATTATGACTTGAATCCGTCTCGCCACACGTAACATTGCAGACGGCGAAGGTCACGGTCTCAGTCAGCCAATCAGCGCGTGAAAGGAAGTCACGTGACTATACTCTATCTTAGTAGATACGCGCAGTGCTATCGAAGCCGCTAGCGCGGGACGACGAGGAAGGTCGATGTTGTACGAATTTTGAGCGACAGGTTAATCTTCTACGCAGGGGTCTCAAACTCATTGGAATGTATGGGCAAGATTCCGCACAGCAGTGATGTTTCACGTTGGAAAGCAGCCGACTACCCAGAGACATACTAAAGATTTTCTAGGGAAGGAACCTTGCGCTCGCTGCTTTTCGTAAGCTCAGCATTTTGACATCTTTGACTTTTATTTGCACACCTGACGTTATAAGAAGATTTAAAATACCACCACGTTACAGTACTTGCAATTTACAATAGCAAAAGAGCAAGCACACTGTCCTTGCCGTGTCGCATAATTTACTATAGCTCAATGGGCATAAAAAAATCTTCATACAGCAGGTTTTGCTATCCTGACGATATTTTTTTACTAGCATCGTAAGAAACTACTTGAATTTTAAAGGTATTGCCGGAGAGCAAGAATGCCGAGAGTAAAGCTTTAACCTTAGCAGATGCTGCTGCTGAGCAAGAGTTCGTGCAGGCGAGATGTCTCCTTGAGCAAAAAGCTCGCGCTTGTAGCTTATCATTGGGTCCGTTGTTGTTCCTCATACGTATAAATGGCGTTTGAAATTGTATAAAATTTGCTGAGGTGCTCCTATTTTGCTGATGACATAAAATTATTTCTCATGTTTTTTTTTCCGAAACAGACTGCGAAGTGCTGCAGTCTCGTATTTTGAGTAATTGAAAGTGAAGCTCGTAGAGTCGATTGCCTCTGAACGCGAACAACACAAACGTTATATTGCTTTCAAGGCGTAGATATTCCTTACATTTTAAGTACAGGGTAGAAAACAGTTATGGCGCTCGAGCTGATGTAATCAGGGACCTTGGTGAGTTAGTCGATTGCTAACTCACGTTCAAAACTTATTACACAAATATTTATAGTACCGGTTTTAAATGGCTTCACACGATTTCGCGTATGACTCGGCACTTTAAAGCAGCCGATGCTATGTTACCATTAGTTTGGGCATTGGCTGGGGCCCGTCTTGAATTGTCTTCTGCCGTGTGGAACAACACATGGGAACGTGAATGTAAGCGTATTGACGCGGTACAAATGTATTTGGTTTGCATAGTCTGTGATAGGCATTTTCCGACGGGACTAAAACTTCGAATGCCATTCTCTTGTTAGGCTTCTGAACTTCTACGGTAACCTGAAGGTTACCGTAGAAATTTCCGAGATGTAGTGTTTGTACATAAAATCATCCAAGGTCATTCTGATGTGTCGGATATTTTGGGCAGCATGCAACTGCGTATCCCAGCTAAATTCGAGCGACATTGCGTAACGTTCTATCCCGAGAAGCGATTTAAGGGATCAGCATTCCATCGAATTCCGGCCTATCGCAAATGTCATGTTCAGCATGGCCTTTTTTCCATGCCTTATTTATTTATTTATTTATTCATACTGCAGGCCATTTCAGGCCCAAGAGGGTGGGACAACAAGAAAGAAAAAAAAAAACAAAAAAAAACATAACTAACAGAGTAAACCAACAAATGTGGTACAGAGGTTTTTTTTTTTTTTTTGCGCGACACAGGAGACAATTACAAGCGAGTAGACACGGACAAGCGCATGTGGTACACTGGAGGTAAACAAAATACACAAATTCAAAGGGTGTATAGATAACACAACAATGGGGCCACTGATAGCGTCTTGCAATAAGCGCAATAGAGCACATAAAAAATAAGGTAAGAACCCTAGTGACACGTTGTATCTTAAAATCATGACTACAACATTACTGAAATATAACAAACAAAAAACATGCAAGCGCGTTAGAAATGCGAAGAACATGCATCAACAAATTGTTCTACGGTCGCACATGCAACAATCCCATCATGTAAAAGATTACATTCATCTACAGTTCTGGAAAGGTATAATTTTTTTGTTTTCTTTTCTTTGATATCTTCTGTAGTTTTCTAAATATCACGGCTCGAAGTTTGATTTCGGGCATCTACGGCAAAACCGAAACTATCTGCTCGAGAGTGATAACAACAATCACCATCCGCTGTACGGCCGCGACGCGACGTTACCGTGGCGCTCCGGCACACGTGCGGAATCAAGTGCAGCGCCACCGCGACGTGACGTCACGGGGGTGCACCACTACGCGTCGCCCAGCGTCGTTCGAATAAAAGCTAGCCCGCTTGCCGCCCGCTAAAGAGCAGCTGGTCGCATCATTAAAATCGGTTTTGGTGAAGTACGCGGCTTCACTTTGATGCAATATTTAGGCTGTGATCGTATTTCGGGTCACTACAGTAATACCGGTCATTTATTTTGGTTTCGTTTTCGACCTGAGTTTCCCTTTAAGTCTAGACGGAGACGACGGTACGAGCCCATGACAAAATGCTGTATGAGGGAGAGGGGTGAAAGGAGGTCCCAGCAAAATGGAAGATTTCGGAGGGGGAGGGGGGGGGGGGGGGGGGCCGGGCCCCATGCCCTTTGGCTTTGTGCATCAACGATTATAATGCGATGTTCCCGGCGTCGGTGTGAGTCCCCGTGCTCTTTTTCCCGTTAAAATTGCTGATCCTACGTCTTCCTGGCAATGTTTGTCTACTTGAGCGGCCTCAGTGAAATTACCGAGGCTCGTTACACCGCAAAACGTTGCGTGAAAAAATTTGACATGTGCGGCGATTCATTCCGCGTGGACGCCGCAGAGAATGCACGCTAAAGCCTGGTTCGCGTGAGGAGATTCCGCTCGCAATTTTCAGTCGCGACGTTGCTCGGGCTGCAAAAAGCGTGAACCCTAGCTGAGATGTCGACGTCGATAATGAAAATCGCAAAGCGAATTCAGACCAAGTGAATCAGGCATTCAAGTCGGTTATGGCCCCTGGTAACAATTATCAAAATATGTTTGCATCTGCTGTTTACATCGAGCCTGCTTACCCCGACCAACTCTCAAACTTAAGTCTCTTAAGCCTTTTCAGGCCTGCACGATTACCGGGCCATCGTTTGGTCTACGGGCCGGTGT